CATCCTTGCGCACCGAAGCACACCGCCTTCTACACCGAAGCGGTAAGTACAGGAAACGCCCCCTCCCCACGGCCATCAAGAGTGAACGCAACCAAACCGCGCTCAACAGTCCTGCCGCGGGCTGCACGGGCGCGCCGCGTGGCCGTGTCCGAGGCGCCTTCGCACTCCTCGCCGCACGTGGAAGGCGGATGCCCCGTGTGGTCTGCCGTGCTGGTCTGTTATGCTCGTGTGGTCTGCCGTGCTGGTCTGCCGAATGCGAACCCGACTGACAGGGCCTCGAAGGCAAGCGGGGGGGATGGCCTCCATGGAGAGGGGCGGCCCGCGCGGGTCAGGGCGCGGCGGGGGCGGGTCAGCCTAAAGCTGAACCATGGCCCGCATGGGGTTGCCGAGCGCATGACGAGCCCCTCGCGACTGGCGGTGGCGCAAAATGCAGAGCACAATCATGCAGGAGGCCACTCCCGCACAACATACATGAATTTAGGGTTTGCGCCGCCGCCCCCCCCCGCAAAAAAAGCCCCCCGCAAGGTTCATTCGCGCATCTACCGTTTAGGGTTTGCGCCGCAGCACTCCCCAAGGCTTCCCGCAGGGCCCACGCAAACGTTCGATCAAACAAAGAGTGCTCATCCGTCCGCACCGAAACGCACAGCCTTCTACACCGAGGCGGTAAGTACAGGAAACGCTCCCTCCCCACGGCCATCGAGAGCGAGCGCAACCAAGCCGCGCTCAACAGTCCTGCCGCGGGCTGCACGGGCGCACCGCGTGGCCGCGTCCGAGGCGCCTTCGCGCTCCTCGCCGCGCGTGGAAGACGGATGCCCCGTGTGGTCTGCCGTGCTGGCCTGTTATGCTCGTGCTGGTCTGCCGCGCTGGTCTGCCGGGTGCGAACGCGACTGACAAGGCCTTGAAGGCAAGCGGGGGGGATAACCTCCATTTTTTTTGCTGTCCGCGCAACCGCGGGCGCGGGGCCTCGCCAGACGATTTATTGATCGCATCCATCCGTGCTCTTGCTGCACAACTGGCCTCCATGGAGAGGGGCGGCCCGCGCGGGTCAGGGCACGGCGGGGGCGGGCCAGCCTAAAGCTGAACCACGGCCCGCCCAACGCCGCGGCCACCCCAGGACGTGACTCGGCCATCATCGGGGGGCCGCGCCCCGAGACGCCAGTCCCACGGCGCGGGGGCGCCCAGGGCCACGAAGGAAACGGGGCGCCAGACATCCCTGGGCCTCTCGCGCATCACGCCTGCAACCTAACAAAGCTCAGCTGCAACTTCGGCGTGAGAGCGCAAAGCGAGGAGACAACTGAGCAAACTGGCGGCAGGAACAGGGAGGGCGAGAGCCGCTTGGATGCACTTATGTTAGTCACTGTCGCTCTCGGACCCCGGCGCGCGGCTGGCGAGGCGCCGGCGCGCCCGGCGGTGCTCTTCGGCACTGGCGGCTTCCGCGCCCCAAGCCTCGAGCTCCGCCGCGCCTGGCCCGCGGGCCTCGATGGGGGCCCGCCGAGCTCGGGCCGCTGGGCGTCGCTGCCGCCGCCGAGGCCCCGCTCGCGCCAGCTGGCTCGCCTGCAGGGGCTGGCCGTGCCCTGGCGACGAAGCGTTCCCGAGCTCCCGCGGGCACCTCGCCCTGGAGGCGGGGCCTGGCCAGCTTGGCGCCCTGTGTCCGCTGCTTCCGCTGGCGAGGGCGTCCCCCTGGATGCGGGCCGCGGCGCCAGAGGCTGAGCTGGTTGCGCCCCAGCTTGTCGGCCCTGGCCCCCAGCGCTGCCACTCGAGCCTGGGCCTGGCTCCGGAGCCCCCTCCAAAGGGATGGGCCATGTGAGCACCGCGCCTGGTGCAGGCCGCCAGCTCCTGCTCGTCGACGCTGCTGCTGCAGGCGGCGTAGCTCAGGACGTGGCCGAGGAAGCCGAACACCGCCGCCTCGAGGTCCAGCTCGCCGCTGGCCTGGGCTGCCGAGCGCGCGCCGCCCATGCGGCGCCGCTTCAGCTCCTGCTCGTCGGGCCCCTCGCCGCCGCCCTCGGCAGCTAGCTCCTAGAATCGGGCGCGCCCGAGCCTCGGCGCCGGGCGGGCCCCCGTTGTCCGCGGCCGCGATGCCCTGCCATCGCGCAGAGGATTGGCCCATCCAGCGCGGTGGTCTCCGCGTTCACCGCGTGCAGCTTCGCCCCCAGCTTGGCTGAGCGGTCGGCGTGCTGGTTGCCTAGATTCCGTGTCTCCGTCAGCCCGTCGAGGACGGCCTGCCTGCTGCAGTGGGCGGGGACCTCGTTGATGGCGGCGAAAGTGTATGGCTCGAACGCCGCGTGGATCCTGCCCCGCAGGTGGGGGCTGGGCCAGCGCGGCGCGGCGGCGTGGGCCTTCCCTGTCCTGGGGCAGGAGACCGTGGCGGTCGATATTCACCTCGCTGACGTCGGGGCCCGCGTAGCTGCCCAGCACCCGCACCGCGAAGTTCTCACTGTCCTTGGCCGTCTGCCGCGGGCAGAGGTCGCGCCCGGCCGAGCCGTGCGCCGCGGGCGCGAGGTTCCCGTTGTCGTCGCGCTGGGCGATGGTCCATCCAGCTCTGGAGGGCCCACTAGCTGCCCTCGTGTGCGGAGCCGTCGAGGTGGAGCTTCCCGCCTAGCGTGTCGCCTTCGGGCCGCCCGATCCACCGCGCGCGCGTGGCGCCCGCGCGTTGGCCCTGCGGGGGAGGCGGCGCGGGCGGCCGGCAAACGTGCGAAGTTCTCGCCAGCCGCCCCCCGTCGAGCCCTGGCGCGCTCGGCGCAGCGCTGCAGGCGAGGGGGCACATTGTCTCTCTACTGAGCTGCCAGCGTGGGGCACTCGAACAGGCGATGCCAAAGAGTCCCTCGCTCAGCTCCGCGCCAACAGCGCCGCGCGTGGTCGCGCTCCCTGGCGTCGTGCAATCGGGCCTGCGGCCAGTGCGCGTTGGAGACGTAGGCGATCAGCGCATGCTGCTCCCTCTCGCTCATGTACCCTCCCCCCCAGGCCCCAACAACGTGGCGATGGCTCCCGCGGCCCCAGCTGGAAGAGGTCCCGCCTGTCGCCCTGGTCGGTGACGAGGACGCGCTCCGACTCGAAGTACCAGCCGAGCGCTCCGACTCGAAGTGCCGGCCGATCCTGCACGCGGTGAGCGTCGCGGCGTCGACTGGCGAGGCGCAGTGCACCCAGGGCGAGGCGGCCTCGGCATGGCGGGCCATCGCCGCCTCCAAGCTCCTCTTGAACATGCGGCTCGGGAGCTCGCCAGACTGCAACAGGGCCGCCAGCATCTGGACCGCCGCGCTGGCCGCGGGCACCGCTGGGTCCAAGTCCCGCCGGCACGCGGCGTGGCCGCATGCCCGGTGCCGCGCCACTCGGTGGCCGCCCAGCGCTGCGGGCCGCCTTGAGCCTCCAGCAGTGCAGCCCTCCGTCCGCTATGCCCGTGACTGCCCGCCCCCAGATCATGCCGGCTGGGGGGCCCGCCTTGTGAACCAAGTCCACCTCCGCGCCCGCTGCCTTGAGGCGTCTCAGCCCGCGCGCGCGGCTGAGGGCCCCGGCCGCTCTGGAGTGGCCATCGCGCACCCCTCGCCTGCTGATGTTGGCGTCCGTGCCGAGGCTCCCGGCGTGCAGGGCGCCCTTGAACCACCGGCCGTGCTCGGCCCAGTGGTCCTTCGGCAGCTGCGCCAATCTGGGTCTGGAACAAGATGGCTTCTCGGCGCTGAAGGAGAGATGCTGCTCCCCGAGGGGCCTGGCGTCCTCGACCCCTGCGCTGCCCAGCTGGGCTGCAAACGGCCGCTCCGTGCCCGCAGCCTGCAGCGCGATGTCGCCCACGACGTTGCGTGCTACGACCAGGGGCCTGCCCCCTGCCGAAGCCGCGGGGAAAGCCTCCAGCACGGGCGGCTTGGCAACGGTGGTCGCGCAAACACAACTGGCTAGGACCGTGCCCAGCGCGCGGAAGGGCGCCGACGCGAGCCTGGCGAAGCTGATGAAACGGGGGTTCCGATCGAGCGCCAGCAGGCCGCGGGGGAGGTGCGGGTTGAAGCCGTGGGCGGTGCCACATCGCCAGAGCACATCGCGTCGTAAGTTCCCGTGGAACTTCGCGGTGTCCACGAAGAGGCTTCCCGCCGCGAAGCCGGTGGACTTGGCGTTGGCCGCGCAGGCGTTGTGAAGCCAACCAGCTTTCTCGCAGCCTCTCTCAGCTCGGTCCCAGAAGAAGCGATAATCGTGCTCGGCTTCCCAGTGGGCGCAGTCTGTTTGAAACAGTCGGCCCCAGATCTTCAACGGCAGCGGGATGAGGGCGATGGGCCGCGCCCCTCCTCCAGCCTTCGGGATGAACGCCATCGTTGTGGCCGTGGCTCCAAGGCTCCTGGGCGCCTCCTCGTAGGCTTCAAGGATGTCGATGCGTCCCGCCTGCAGCTCCCGCGGGGGGAGGGGGAGCTGCCATGGGTGGAGATGGTCTGCGCCCAGCCCAGCCGTGGGCGAGTAGCGCCTGCAAGCCACCTGCATCGAAACCCACTCGGGGAACGCGTGGCCCGATAGCTTGGCCAAGCTCAAACCCAACTTTCGGCCACGCAGGCACTTCCAAAAAGGCAGGGGGCGGCGGTGATTTGCCGTAGGCGTCTTCGATAGGAAGGCGCCTGAAGCAGATGGGAATCTGGGAATCCAGAGATACCTACTTGCAACGACTGGCGTGTCATAGCGACAAGGCTTCCGAGAAGGCTCCGAGAAGGCGGGAGGCTTCATCCTCAGCGTACTGCCTTCTCAGAGGGCCATCTTCCCTTGCCTCGCCCTCTTCTGCGCGCCGCCCATTGCCGCCCATCCCGATCGCATCACTCGGGGGGAACGAAAGGGGGGGATAGCAAAGGGTAGGGTATAGAATCAGCTCACGTAGCTGATTTTCCCAGCGGCCCGGCGGCGGGGCCGAAACCAACTGCATGTAGCAGATTTCCGTACCCCCCCTCTCCCTTTCCCCCCCTTTCGTTCGGCCCGAACCACTCGCAGCTCACACCTGCGAAACGCGCAGGGGAGGCCATCGCCGAGCCGCACACCCGCCAACGTCGCGTCCCACACGAAGCGGATGTGGGCCTGCGGCCATCCGCCGCCGCTCCCCCGCTGCACCAGCTGCCGCCGACGCTGCTGCAATCCCGCGCCTGATGCGCTCATGATCCCCGTAGCATTTCGGGCCAACGTGACGCAACTCAACGCGCTCAAGCACATTGCACTCCAGCCCCCGATACTTCATCCATTACACTCAACGCGCTTTGCAGCTTTTCAAATCAACCTGCTCCCATGGCATGCGATTGCGTCCTTCAAAGCGTCACACCACGTCGTTATGCCCAGATTATTCCCAGCTTCCCATTCCGTTCCATCGCATCCAATTTCGTTCCTGTACATTCGACGATACCCCCATTGCATGTTCGGCGCATCAGCCAATTCCATCCCGCGTCAGCCATGAAACGCAACCACAATCCACTCTGTTTCATCATAGCTCATCGCCTCTCGCTACGTCCCTCTGCACTCTGTGACGTTACACCCGTGCAGCCGTCCCGCACCACAACAACCCCATCCATGCGACAGTCCACGCCCTACTGGTCCACGCCCTACTGCATGCCCTGATTGCTCTAATCGTTGCCCTAGTTTCGGCGATGAGAGAGGAGGGAAGTAGGCTCGGAAATCGCCCGGCCTTCGGAGAAATTATCTAAGCCTTCCCCGGAGACACAGAAAGCCTCTCAGAAGGCCGGAGGCCTTCTGAGAAGCCCCGCCGCCTTCTGAGAAGGCCTTCTCTCCCTCTCACTTCCCTCCTCGCTCGCCGCCGATGTTTGGTACTGGCATCGCAGGCCTAAAGTCAACTCGTATAATCAGGATGCGCGATAAGGATGCAAGGGCCTTGGAAGGCTGTCTCGAAGCTCTGCGAGCGGAGCGAAGCCAACGGAACTGGCCAAGGACGGACCGAGGAGGCAAGGATGCAAGGGCACCCTCGGGAAGGTTGTCCATCCTTGCCATGCGGGCTGCGTGTAAGCATGGACTGCCCATGAGCGGCAGAACTGCTGCGCGACGCCCGCGGCGCTCAGGAGGGCGATCACACGGCGATCGCCGGGGGGGCCTGGGCCCCGTGGGGGGCACCGCTCGCGCAGAGGCGCGGGCACGGCTGGGCAGAAGCCCGGCAACCTGCCACGCCGCCAAGCCCTCACTGCGCCCGGAGGGGGGGGGGGGAAGACAGAACCCAGAAAATATGTGGAAATATGCGAACTCCTGGGATTTCTGTGCATGCATTTGTGTCCCTGGGCCCCTTCGAGTACGGCGGAGGGAAGGGTCTTCCGAGCTCTCGTCCGGCTGTCGTTCCCCCTTCACTTGCAGTAGCCCAGACCACCTCGCGCTGTGACAAGGATCACGGCGCGAGGTTCTTCGCTACGTTCGGCCTCCGGGGGGCCCTTCCCGGGCCTCGGGGCCGGCACAGAACGGCTCGGGACGAAAAGCCGGCCCCGGGGCAGGGCTCCAGGCCTCTGGGGGTCCACGCTGTGAACAGATCACGAACGTCGGGGGCCTGGGGAGAGCGGCGAGCGGTCGGGGGGGGAGGCGCCTCCTCTGGGCACGCACTGAGCACCAGGTGGGCGCTGCTGAAGGTGCTCATCCCAGTGCCCGTGGTGGCGTTCGAGCCCCTCAGCGGAGGGCAGGGAGGAATGTGAGGAGGAGTTGGAGCGGAGGGGGGTGTGGACTGAAAAAAAAGAGGAGGAGGGGCCACCGACGAACTCTTTGAATCTCAAAGGGTCTGGCAAGCGTTAGCCCTGAGGTGGTGGCCTGGTGGAGGTCGCCTGCACGAGCTCCGCCGAAGAGCTCACGGCAGCGACGGCATTCAGAGGGAACATGGGCCACCTCCGATGGGTAACGATGGACCCACGGATCGGAGTGGCAAATGCGATCGATAGCTCGACGCCTCGGCCCCTTCGAAGGCGAGGCCCTGCTGAGGCGTGCTACGTAACACTGATTTTTCCCACCCAGCAAGATGGGGATGCCGGATTTTGAAGAAATAGCTCCCGACCCGCTTCGCACGCATTGCACACGACGGCCACCAGGCCCCAAGTGTCTCGGTGATTCCTGGGGACCCCGCATCGAACCTTCAACGAATGACGACTGCATGCCGCGGCCGCCAAGCCTCAAGAGTCCCAGTGATATTCGGGGATCCTGCCTCGCGTCTTCGACGAATGAGGACACAACGAAGACACGCAAACATCAGGCACATATGATAACATGGACACGTAGCATCTGGAAGAAATCGGCAGGCGCAAGGTACTCCGTCAACACAGACACACACACATCAGGCCTACGTAGCATGCACGGAGCGCGTATGTAAGGCACATGGATACACACCAGAACGTACGAAACAGACATGCCCTATCGTTCAGTGACGACAAGACGCGCATGCATATATGAAATAGGCGTAACTAACAGACGACCCCACCATGGAGGCGTCACGGCGACACGCCGTCCAAGCATCATGTCGTCCCCTTTCTTGCGTCCGCCTCCCTCATCTCTTTCTTCCCGCTCGTCCTCCTCTTCCCTCTACTTGTGAGTTTTAGTTGTGGTTTACAGAGCTTTGATGCGAGTGTGGTTGTGATGGGGAACACATTTGCGATGTTGTAGGCGGCGTTCTTGATCATTGCCCATAGGACTGGAGACTTTCGGCTGTCACCGTTAGGGTTGCCCCATGCTCCCAAGTCACGTTGGATGGGCTCTCTGCTGCTGAGCCGTCATCGTTGAGGAGAAAAGAGCGTCCACCAAGAACAGACAACCACACAGGACTTCGGGAACATACTTTGACGACGCACGCAACACAAACACGTCAAACACAGACACGACGCCACGGACAGGCATAGGAGAACGCACAACACGAACACACGCACACATCACACAAACAACTAACGTACATCCAGCACAAACATCACGCGCGTACACCAATACTGTACTTGAAACGCGACCGCCAATGACACACGCGTGCGCGCGCGACGGGCACCAATATCATACATTATATATGCGTATCAAGAGCGCACACCAGCATCAAACCTCAATATCACAAATCAATTACAATTGCCAAACCTCATACACCACCCGACTACACCGACCGCACATACCAATTACATGCATAACGGGCACACGCACACACATCAATAATACGCCCCTGCAAGAAATTAGCCACACCATGACCATCCATCACCACCGCACAACAAGAACATACACACGCCACACGCATGAAACATGCACGACACAATAACAGACACCACGAGCACACATCAAACGCATACGCCAATACCGTTCGTCATTAACCTACTCCTAGAGTTCACCAACACCTCACACCACTCGCACTTACGAGCAACATGCGCCGAGAACGCGCACCAAGTTCATAACCATTCAAATGCATCAAACTCAGGCCCAAATCGTACATATCATGAGAATGCAGCAGTCGCCAACGTGAGCCCCGGACAATGTGCTTCTGGCAGTCCCTGTTGTGCAATATACGTGGTGCAATCTACGCTGTGCACACTATGCGGTACCGTATGAATGGTGCAAGTCACGCCACCCTGCCGAACTTGAGGTTGTCAACTCCACTGCTCGCGCAATCATCACGCCCACTTGCACGCCACTTGGTTTGCAAAACCCATGCGGCGGAGATTGCGATGTGTGCTTGGTTTTGGCTGGTGCATTTCTGCGGCCGCGCTAGCCCGCGCATGCTCGTGCGCGCAGCGGCCAGCTAATTTGGCGCGACTGGCGCGGCCGCGGTGGCGCTGACCACTGGGCACTTCCCAGCGGGCAATTCAATGCGAGTCGGCGAGTTGGGCGAGCGCGGTATCATGGCAACGTCGACAACGGTAGACGCAATGATGATGGCAGCACTGCTGGTGGCGATGATGACAACGACGACGGTAAGGCCAGTGACGGCGCCGATGCTGATCACGCCGACGGTAATAGTGGCGTCCCCGCGTCGGTGATGAAGGTTCTGGGGGAAGTTCGACATGCGCGCGCGGCCGACGCGCGAGTGACCCGCATGGTATTGTTTGAAACGGATCGTACCCCCCCAGCACGCGCGCACGGGCGTTCGAATGATTGCGACGTGCGGCGCGAGAGGCCCGTTTGGCTGAACTCAATGGAACTACGGTTTTCTTGAGAATCCGCAGGGACGCGAACGCAAGCATGTTTTGAAATCTGCTGTTGCAAAACCATGTGCATGTATATGTTGTCGGGGTACTCGGTTTTGACTCCTAAAGAAACCTCGGAAGTTTTTGACTGATTTCGGCATGCGCGTGCGACGACGCGCGCGTGTGCACTTCGTCTCATTTTTGCAAGGGGGTCTTGCGACAGCACGCGCGCAAGGGCGTTCGAACGATTCCGACACGCGCGCGCGAGAGGCCCGCTTGGAAGCATGCTATGAACAAAAGGAAAGCCGACGTACATTTGTTTTGGCAATCCTTGTCGCGAATCATTTTTTTTCTCTTCTTCTTCTTCTCAACACATATATATATACATAAATATAAATATGTTTTCGGGACAATCGATTTTGAAACCCTTTAGGCACCTGAGGTTTTTGAAGGACTTCGGCATGCGCACGCGACGGCGCGCGCGTGCATTTCGTCCATGTTTTGCCAGGGATTCTTGAAACCTGCGTATCGTATTGCTAAGGCCTTACGGCCGGTGCCGCCGACCCTGAAGACGACAACGACGAACACGAGAAGGAGGAGTGGGATGAAGGTGGAAGGGAGCAGGAGAAGGCGAAGGAGATGTTCCCCATGTGGGCCGAGGGGGTCGTAGCAGAGACAGACAGGGAGCCTTGTGGCCTGCGGCCCTTCCCGCCACCGTGCTGGGGTTGTGGTTGAAAGTCCTCTTGGATGTTTTCGGGCCTGTTGGGGCCTCTGTTGGGCCTCTTGGGGTCTCTTGGGGGCCTCTTCGGGCCCCTTGAGGGGCTCTTGGGGCCTTCTGGGGGCTTCTGGGGGCAGGAAGCTCGAAATGTCGGTTCGTGGTCCTCTTCTTGGACCTGCTTGGGGCCTTCTTGGGGCCTGCTTGGAGCGCTCCTGGGGGTTGCTTGGGCCGTCGTGGAGGCGTCTTGAGCTGGCTTAGACTGCCCTTGGGCATTTGTGGGACTTTCTGAGAGACCTCTGGGGCCGTCTCGAGGTGTTCTTGCAAGCCTCTGGGGCCGGTTTGGATCGTCGGGAAGCAGAAGAGGCCAGAAAGCCTAATCGTTCCAAAACGCATCGCGGAAATCAATGAACCTTGCCTCATGGCCGTCGTGGGAGTGATCCTGGGTGCTTCTGGGGGCGTTTTGCACGCCTCTCGGCCTGTCTGAAGCCGTGAAGGAGTCTTGGACAGATCGTTCGGCGATTCGGGGCACTCTTGGACCTTCTTGGGGGCCTCTTAGGGCACTCTTGGTGCGTCTTGGCGTTTTTTGCGCTCCGGGACGCCCGAGGGGCAGATGCGTATCTGACCCCCCCCCCCCGGGACCGCCCCGGGACCCGCCCCCCGGGACTCCCTCCCCCCCCCTCGGCGGGGAGGGATCAAAGGGAAGGGGCTTCCCTTCGACTGAAGTGCGACGTTGCTACGACGACGGCCCGGCCCCTGGGTGCGGTTCGTCGCAACAAAAATTGCGTCAAGAGCATTGGCACGGGACTCTCGCCTCTGACAGTGGCGATTCTATGTGTCAGATTCAGCGTGACCAGCATCTCGTTGTTGGAGTGTGCTCTAAAGTCCCCGACGGCCTGACTGGATTCGAATTGCCTGCGGGTGCTACTATCTCAGTGCTCCTCCAGAAGGCTGACCCGGATGCTGTTCCAGTGCGCGCTCTAGCTTTGGACTCGAAAGGGTCTCCCAAAGTAACCGCACTTTACCTTCGACAGTTTGGGAAGCAGGTGCCTGCTTTGAAGTGGGCTGCTCAAGCTGGACAACCCCTCCCAGCAGCATCCCCAACTCGGGTGGTACGCATGGCTTTCTTTAAGAACGCGGTGAACGAGCAGGAGTGGCAAACGCGTTCCCGCAATATGAAAGTGGCGGCTAAGTTTTAGTTGGCTTCTTTGCGTATCCCTCCTTCAGCTATTGTTGACATCTTTGGAGCCCAGAAATCTGAAGATGGAGCCATTGTTTCTGTCAGCGTGCGCATCCTTGCAACACGTGCTTCTGCTATTGAATGCGGGTGTGGAGTAAACGGGGTGTTAGCGCGTTTGTTACCAGAAGATCCTAAAGCTTTGCCGACGTATGGGAACGTCCAGTGGTTACGTCGACAGGACAACGAGAGAGGCATCGAGTTTATGCAGCGGGCACGTTCGCTTGCTGAAGAAACTAACCCATGCCTTGGTCTTGCTTTTTCTAGCTCTGGTTCTGTGGGCTTGCGGCAGCCCTGAGGCCAACATGCGACTTCATGGCGTGTTTCTGGGTTGCCGAGATCTTTGACAATACCGCAGTTTGCAGACTGGATTAAAGCTAACGGTTGGCCTGAAATCGATTTGTCCTCGGTCCGAAGGCGAACCACGAATTCTTGCACAAGCTTCATTTTCGCGGCATCAACCCAGCGGGTGCGAACCTGGCAACTACAGTCAAGACAGTGGCCGAAGGCGGCAAGACGATCTTCATCGAGTTCGAGCCTTACCGGCCGCAGTCCAAGCCCCCTGCCTTCAGGAAC